AAAAAAAAAAAAAAAAAAAAAAAAAAAAAAAAAAAAAAAAAAAAAAAAAAAATCCAAGCTGAGCTTCGAACCGGCAACTGCTCGTTTAACAGCCGCAGTTCTTGCCGCTAAGCTAAGGCTGAGGATCAACTGAGGAAGAGAAAGGAAGTCGAAGGAATGAAAAGAATTGAATTTCGTTTAAATAAAATTGCAAGAATGTTTGAAAATTCAAATTAAAGCAACAATAAAAAATCTGACAAAAATATCAAATGACAAGTCATATTTCTTAGTATTCTATTTTACTGTGCATATGCGGTCGCCCGCCCACAGGTGGCCGCCAACACGCGACCACAACAAGTACAGCAATAACAGCAACAACAATAATAATGTGTGACACACACACACACACAGTCACAAACACACCGCATTTGTTGCTTCAAGTTAGAAAAAAAAACGCGGTGAAAGCTAGATCAGACAGCAACTGTTTTTGTTATTGTTTTTGTTTTTGCAGCAAGCTTCACTGCCACTGCTAATACACACACACACACACACACACATAGTAGCTAACACACGTGTATTTTAGCGTTAACAAGGACACATGCGCATTAATAATGCACACCTTTTCCAATTATTAGCCACAAATTGTGGCGAACAAAATCAATAGAGAGCTACATTTCGAGAGACACACAAATCCGAGACAATTATATCATTTTCCAAATCACATTAAGGGCCTTCTTACGCTTAACCCACCTTGACCCTGCCCCTATCCATTCGCCAATTGACTATAAAATATTCACTAGCTAATTGCTCTGCCGCTCTATGCGATTCTCATGTCAGCCAATCGTAAATTGCGCCTAATTTTCGATTCTTTTAACTGTAAATTGCTCTGTTGTTGTTTTGATTAGAAAGCCCAGTTAGGCAATAAATGCATTTTTCATTCCAATCTTATCAACATTTGTTGCTTTTTCGTGTCGCTTCTCGTCGATAATATGATAGAGCAGCCTAAGCACACATGGCCTATAAAAATAAGTAGAGTGGCTAAAACGGATATATAAATTATGCATATATCGATTATACAGTATGAAATTTATTCAACTTTAGGCATATTTAGACATTTAATTATGATAAATGATATGCAAAGTATGGTTGAAAAGTATTGCTAACTTCGTGTGTGCTTTATTTTTAAAAGTTTATATAGATTTTTAGATAACATATGTAGAAAAACTTTTGTGATATAGTTGAGCAGCCTCTTCGACAACTCAACATCTTCTATGGTGAATTTCTAGCAAAACAAATTGAGCTACTTATAGTAACTCCTATTCCCCTCATATTTCAAATAGTTGCGCACTTGAACCAATGCACAACTGCAACCTGATTTGGAACTATCAGCAAATATTTGAGCTTCAATATTTGCCTATCTATTAAATGGATTATAGCTTTATTATATCATGATAACTAATTGAGTTCCAATATATATACATAGGCTTTAATCGATAAATAGATTCATAATTGGCCAATAATCCTGCATAGCCCGGTTTCATGTGACTCATTGGGGGCGCATTATTCATGCGCGCAGCGATAACAGGGCGATAATGGGCATTGTTCGAGCGAACAAAACGCTAACTAGATGATAACAATGAAATCCAGCGAACTACGACTAGCTCCCTCTTCATCTCGCCCTCCCACCATCATGCTCTCACTGTCTTGGGCCGCCAGGTGTTGAGCAAGTGTTCGTCCTTTATTGGCTTTATTACTCATGCGATCAGTGTGGCTCACTTGACGCTTAAGGTGCCTTAGTTGGCTCAGTTGAAATTCTATTTATGTGCATCTTATCGACCATCAAACAACAATAAACAAAGTGATAGGCCAGCACACCAGCCGGCCGCCGATATCAGCGGACCATGGCTAAAAGGGCGATAAGATTGTGCGACATCGGTTCCAATTCTAGTTCCAGTCAGCCAAAAGCTAACGGAAACTCTGACTAGTTTTTGTTGTTGTTGTTGTTGTTGTTGTTGTTCTTTATTAATAATGTTGGTCAAACATTTGTGCAGCATGTTGACAAACCTGTTGTTGTTGTACACACGCACACACACTTGCATACTCAAACATACATTGCTATTTATGTCGTGCCAGGGTCGTTACACAAACACACACACACACACACACATACAAAAAATATGCATGTGTGATTTAAAGCAATCTACATATATGCAAATTGCGGCTGGGCACGATAAGAACCGAAATATTTTGCCCACGATTTGTTTGACTATTTTCCAAAAATATTTTGATATAGGCATTACGTAAGATCGGCCATATACACCCGTATATGCAAAGCAGCGCTAGTTTCGCCAGCCACTTACATTGTTAAAATTATTAATGGCCCCCAACTATGAGACACACACACACACACACACACAATTTGTGTTGATCTAGGAATTTCTTGTTTCGATTCCAATTTGAGAAGAAAAAAATACTAATAAAAATATGCAAAATATGTAATTTATAGGTTATACTCAGAATGTTGACTAAGTGTCAACACATGAGCTCATCTTAAAGTACGAATTGACGCTGTCACAAACGTAAATTACGTTTTTGTTTTAACCCAGGCGCACATTTTGGCTTGGCTTGTTTTGTTTACATGCTGTTTGCTGACGTCATAAACTTGCATTGGAAGCGCGCTGAGTGTGCGCAACAAATGTAACCGTTATCTTGTGTATCGTGTACACAAGTGGGTGTGTAGGTGTGCGTGTGACCATTGAGCGGCAAAAGTAAAAAGCCGCCATAGCGCATCCTTTTTACTGAAATATGAGCATTTGAATACATGTATGTAAATACTTAGTTATCGATATTCAAAGTGTATATTTATACAAATGGCGATATGTGTAGTTACACAGCTTTTGCTGTCATGCGCCATCGATCAAGCGATTTTCATGCTTCACAGGGCAAATAAACCGTTTGATTATTTTCCAAGCAAACGTATCCAAACTGAATATGATTCTCAATCTAATTCTGAATTTGGGCCAGTGTCTGGGCTATGAAGCATTAAGTTGTCTAACATAAATACATTTTTATTGCTAAATGTATGCATAAATATATATATATATATACATACATATGTATGTATATGTATAGTGCGAGCTGTGATATATGTATATTTATATTTTAGAAAATACATAATTGCCCACATATATGAGATTTATTTTTATTTCTGAAACGTGATGACGCAAATTTTTCTAGCTGACTTTTGACAGTCAGTGTTGCCAGCATACACTAAAACAATATAAGAAGAAATAAAACCAAATGTCTGTGGTCAAGTGCACGCTGCAAGGCACATTGCAGTTCAATCAACTTTTGGGCGACAGGCGGCGCTTTTACTTCACGTTCACATATACATATTATGCGTGGGCATGTGTGTGTGTGTGTGTGTGTGTGCGTGTAGCGGCGCATAATAAAAACAAAACACAAACGAAAGACAAACAATAACATAAACAAGAACCAGTTGACTTCAGTCGCTGAGGCTGTTGTTATTAGCAACAGGTCGCCTTTGGCTTTGGCAATGTCTGCAACTTTCAGCTTTCACTTTTCGTCTGCCTTTTGTTTTAGCCAGCGCAATAACAACAACAACAACAACACAGAAAGCTGCGTGCGCACACCTGTGCTTGCGCGATTGCCGCCTAATGCTTATTGCTATTTAATTGCAAGCAAAAATACTACAACAAATCAGAAACCTAAATGGGCATGTCATCGAAATCTGTGTCGGCGCCCACACACACACACACACACATGCACACATACGCGCACAGTCAGACGAAACTGGGCGTCAAAGTGCAGCGCTACCATATTTATACTCTGTTCACGAACTGGCTTATGGAGAGTATATTGGTTCGTTTCACTGTATGTTCACCCAGAATTATAGCTGAATATGTGCATATGTAAATGTATCTGTACTGAGCGTGGCGACTACTCATTACCCTGTTTAAAGTATAGAAATTAATATGTGAAACAAGTTCGCTTCCGTGCTTAGAGCATTGCGCGGTCGGTTGAAACATTGCTTACTTTACAGGTTCTCAGCTCAGCTCGATTTAGTTATTTAGTATTTATGTATGACAATTAACTGGTTGCCATTGTTCAATTGCTTAGGGTGACATCATGTCACCCAAAAAAAAAAAAAAAAAAAAAAAATCCATTAAATGTCAATTGAGTAACTTTTGCTTGTGTTATATTGCAGATATTGGGCATCATTTGCATGGCATGCGTCTCGCCCGCACAGGCGGCAGCAACGAGCTTCTTCCTATTCGCCGTTGTCATCTCTTTCATAATTACCTTCTTGCTGATTGCCGCATATTTCCTGGGCATACGCGAGGCGCTCAACGTGGCCGTTAATTGGATATTTTCAGTAAGTCACAAAGCTGGTCACACTTGAGCTGCTATCACTTACTTTTTGTCTCTCTCTCTCTCTCTCTCTCGCCCTCATATTGTTTTCTTCCTGCAGGAACTGTTGACCACTGCTGTGCTGACCCTGCTCTACTTTATTGGATTTATTGTACAGCTAGCCAGATGGGCCGAATCAAGTGCTGTCGGACGTAATGCAAATGTAGCGGGCGGCGTTTTTGGCCTATTCAATTTCCTGGCCTATGCGGCGGGTACATATTTCCTATTCCTGGCGCATAGATCTGGAGCCACGCATTAAGAGTTTCAGCAGCAAAGCCGAGCAGCGATCTGTTCTGTTCTGTTTAGATTCGATAGCCGATAAGCGGAACAAATTTTTTAGTCATGCGCACCCAAAAAAAATTATTAAGAGAATAACGAAAAAGAAACAATGTAAACAAGCAGCAAGCAGCGCACCCACCACGAAAGCCAACATAGTGTAGTTTAAGATTTAAGTGCAATTTGTGCAGAGAGTTGTTTTTAAAATAATTTCTATTATTATTTTTTTGTTATAATTTCCATTATTTTATTCATTTAAATCTAACGGCAGTAACGAATGAAAGCTCAATCGCAAGTTCGCTCAGCTCGGTTCATGTTCAAGCTCAGTTTGGTTCATGTGCAGACTCAGCTCAATTCAAGTTCAGGCTCAGTTCGGCCCGCGCGACTTTTTTTGTTTTTAATGTTAGTTTAATGCTTAATTTAACTTAATGGCCTGCTGACATTTAAGATCAACACATACAAGGCAAACAGCAACAACATATACCATAAATAAGTTCAATAAATTATTCGTATTTTGTAACTGTAAAATAAATGCTATTAACTTGACTATTTGGTAGCTGATCTGTTGAATTACAATCTTGACTGTACTGTAAATTGGTTTGAAACTTGGTTAAAATATCTACTATAAAATGGACTTTGTATAACGTAGCTGGTACATATATTTTTCGCCGTGTACCTTTTCTTCATCGATGGTTCACAGCTTGACTACGGAAATGTACCTGCACTGAATTGATGGTTGGCAACTAAACTAACAAATGACATTGTATACGATCTCGCTTGCATGGAAGTGTGTGTACCTACGTATATTCGCCGCGAACTTGTAGATTGGACTTCACTATTGCTGCTGCTAACGATCTATTGTGCAAAAAAATGTACCTACTTATTCGCGGCTGCTTGGCGCCTTCGATAACGGTAAATGTGATATAAAGCTCAGTAGCGAAACGAAGATAACGAAGAAAATTGCACAAAATGTTTTTTTCAAATGAATTTTAATATCCTTTTTGATGTTGGCAATGTTGTTATTGCACTTTAAATTTGGTCGATTCTTTTAATTATTCAATAGTTACACAACAAAAATAAATGCTTGTCATGGAAAGTTCGACTCGATTGAGTTAAGTCCTTTTCTATCTATATTTTCTGAAATAAAGTTTGCTAGCATTTTGTGTTCCCGTTTTTTCTGTTGTGGCAGTTATTTCTTAATTATTTTTTCATTTTTTTTTAACTTTTTATTTTAGCTCGTGCGGCTTCTCTTTTGGTCTTTATTTTTTTTAGTTTCTCTGGTTTTCATTTTTTATGGCTGGGTTGATTGAGTGACGGCTAAGAAGCGGACGAGGGGTCCGCTGTGAGTCTACACATATTTCTTGAACTCATCGTAAATGGCCAGCACGAGAGCGCCTCCAGTGCCGCGAATGATATTCGAAAAGGCGCCCTTGAAGAAGGCAGCGATGCCCTCCTGTCGGGCAATCACCACCCAACAATGTGCAGTATTTTTGTAGATCATTTCCGATTTCTTGAGACCCGACTGCATCATCATGCGACGACGCACTGTATCGAACGGATAGGAAGCAATACCTGCAATGGTGGTAACCACCTGAGCAATGCCCCAACTGACGTAGAAGGGTGTGTTCTTTGGATTTGGGAGATGGTCGCGACACGTATCATAGAATCCAAAGTAGGCGGCACGATAGATAACGATGCCCTGCACGGATACAATGAAGCCGCGATACAGTCCAATTATCCCATCTGATTTCACCACTTTTCGCAGACAATCGATCAAACCGTTAAATTCGCGCTCGCCTCCCTTGCCTACATCAGCAGCCAATCTGCAAAAGACGTTAAATAGTGTATTTTGGGCAAATTTAGTAACAAGTCAATCATGTCAAGTGGCAAGGCCACAACCCTGCAAGCCAGTGACTTTATAAATGACAAGCGTATTTTTGGTCAAATTTAGTTCTAAACGAATTGTGACTATGTAACGGAAACATAATTTCTTAGCTAACTATATTGTATTAACTGTCTACAAATGACAGATTTGTATTATTTAATTGTTTTGGCCTTTTCAACTTACCGCGTACGTGCAAAATCCAGTGGATAGACAAAGCACAGAGAAGTGGCGCCGGCTGCGCCACCAGAGGCCAAATTGCCCATGAAATGGCGCCAAAACTGTTTCTTTTTATCAACACCACCCAAGAATACCTAAATAAAGCATAGAAAATATGCAAATATTGTGATTTTTCAATGTAAATGTGTAAAATATATCACCAAAATAGATGCTATTTTAAATTTAAATAGTGCTGCCAACATTCGATGACTTACCGTCTTGTACACATCCTTAAAGGCAAAGTTGAGCGCTTGCGTTGGAAAGTATCGTATCACATTGGCCAAATTACCGCGCCATAGCGATGCGAAACCCTGCTCACGCGGAATGCGCACGAAACAATCCATAATTCCCTTGTAGCGCTGATCCGATTGAATTTGTTTCGATACCTCCTGCACTTGGAGAATCAATTTGACACGCTCGATAGGCGCCACCGCCGTTTTCGCAATGGCCGCCGATACGCCGCCCATCATAAAATCAATTAGGAAGGATTTTAGATCACCTCCGGGTTTCATGCCGCCGCCTTCATCGCCCATTTTGTTGACTTTAGTTTTTTTGTGGGTTTCTTTTTGATGATACGCCGGAGTCCGGTTCTATTTTCTGTTAATTTTGTAAAAGGTTTTCGAGTCCAAGAAGAAAATAAAAAGTTTTAGTAAATTTTGGTTTTTAAATAATTTGGTTTTTTTCCGAAATAATTTTGGTCTAGAATAAAACCAGCTCCGTACGAAATGAGCCAATTTTGAATGTATATCAAACACAACCCACGACGTTAACTTTCTAGGCTACTGAGACTGAGAAAATGTTCGCTAGCGTCAAATCAAGCCTACTTTGATCAAATAATATTACATAATTCGACAAATACAGTGTTTTCCATTCGGTTTGCCGTTCCATGGGTGATTTTGCGTAGATTAATAACAAAACCGTAGCTAAAAACGATGAAAGGCCGAAAATATATTTTCGGCGATTTTCCTGCGTAAAGGAATCCTAACGGACTATTTTTATTTTTAATACATACGCATTTAATTCCATTTTCCGTTGTCACACTTTCAGCTATATGTGAGTGGGGGAAATTGATGCGAATAAAACACATTTGGTTTACTATTTTTATCAATTTTTATATTTTTAACCAACCGCAGGTTGATTTTTTTGTTGGTTTGTTGTTGTTACTGCAGAGGCTGAAGAAATGGTTCTTAATTATTTCATTTTATAATGCGCACTCTGTATATGTATATACGATCAAACATTCTCGATCGGCAAAAGGGTGGAGGAGGCGACTGTTTCGTTGAGAACAGAGACAGAGATACAGACGCACCTGTCCGCTCTGCCACAATCACCTGTCGAACTTAACAAGAATGCTACTAGCTTATAACTTAAATATATGTCTAGAATGTTCGTCTGATATTGTTGTTTGTCTCTTGTGTGTTGTGTTTGTGGCTAAGAGATTTGGCTTGTCCGTTCCGCTCCAAATATCCTGATTTCGACTCCTTTTGCTTTTCTTACTGTTCTACTGGTTGTTGTTGTTGTTGTTGTTGCTATCTGGCCATCAAATGTTTGCTATTTATGCAAGTGCAATTAAATTATATTCCAGTTATTATATATAATATAATTTTATAATTATATTGGATTATTGCAGATGTTTCGCGCTGTTGTTGAATTTATCTTTATATAATATAATTAGCTGGTAGTGGTAGTTGTTGTTTGTTTTTGTTTATGTTTTGTTGTTGGTTTTTGAATAATTTAATAATTAAATTTACAAGAACTTCTTGATCTCATCGTACAACACAAGCACGAAAGCACCGCCAGTGCCTCTGAGAACGTTGGAGAAGGCGCCCTTGAAGAAGGCACCGCTACCTTCCTGCTTGGCAATGGTGGCCCAGCAGTGCAGTGTGTTCTTGTAGATGATCTCGGTGGACTTGCGGCCAGACTGCATCATCATGCGACGACGAACAGTATCGAATGGATAGGACACAATGCCAGCAACAGTTGTAACAACCTGAGCGATGGCCCAGCTAATGTAAATGGGTGTGTTCTTAGGATCGGGCAACATGCCGCGGGCGGTATCGTAGAAGCCAAAGTATGCAGCACGATAGATGATGATGCCCTGGACAGAGACACCGAAGCCGCGATACAAGCCAACAATACCGTCACTCTTGAAGATCTTGGTCAAGCAGTTGCCCAGACCGGTGAATTCACGGGCGCCACCCTTGCCAGTATCAGCAGCCAAACTAAAGCGGAACAAGTTTCAATATAGATGTATCATATACATATGCGTATTATATATATCGTTACTTACCGAGTACGCGCAAAGTCCAATGGGTAGACAAAGCACAAAGAGGTAGCACCAGCAGCACCACCAGAGGCCAAGTTGCCCAAGAAGTAACGCCAGAACTGGGTGTTCTTGTCAACACCACCCAAGAAGACCTATGAAATAGATGCGCACAACGCAAAAAAAAAAAAAACACAATTATAGTGGAAGACAAATGGGGATTTTAAATATATTGTGCTTGCTTACCTGCTTGTACTTGTCCTTGAAGGCAAAGTTCAGAGCCTGAGTTGGGAAATATCTAATAACGTTGGCCAAGTTACCGCGCCAGTATGAAGCAAAACCTTGTTCCTTTGGAATGCGGATAAAGCAATCAACCATACCCTTGTATTGCTTATCGGGGGAGATTTGTTTCGAGATGTGCTGAACCTGCAGAAGCAGTTTCACACGCTCGATGGGTGCGACGGCAGTCTTTGAGACAGCTGCGGAGATACCTCCGGCAGCGAAGTCCTTGACGAATCCAACAGCATCAAAATCCTTGCCCATTTTGCTATAAACAACAATGCAAAGTATCCAAAAATTTACATATAGTTCTCCAACTTCTCTTCCATATCAACATCGTGCATTATTTTTATGGATTTTTTCTTCTTCTTCTTCATCATATTCATCTTCCAATTTTGTCCGTCGTCATTTATGAGGTTAGTTTCATGATTATGATTGTGATTATGATTACGATTATGATTATTGCATTTTTGTTAATTACTTGCGATTTGTTGTGTTTTGATTATGTTATATGAGCACATTTCACTTTTTACACTATTTTAATATTTACAAACAAATTTGATAGCCACCACAACCAATAAAAATATGTTTAAAACATGCATAAATAGAAACAAAGCGTTTACAAAACGAAAACGTTTAGCGCCCAACTTAACATGCAATCGATACGACTCGTTACCCAATTAATCGTTGCAAACTGCAATCTAGTTGAGCAACTAAGGGATTGATTACATGCCAGTTGAGGGCGCTTAGCACGGATTTATCTGAATATGAGGAGGTGCAAGATATGTTAAATAAATAGATACTTACAAACTAGATTAAATGGGTTAGGCATGCACAAATGATTAAGCTTCAAATGAAATGAAGATGTTATTTCATAAAAAACAAGCAGTAAATTACAAAGAAGTACTCTATGGTATGTTGTCCAAGCATTCGATTTTTTTTTTTTTTTTTTTAAATGTATATGTACATTTGTGAGTGTGTTAATTATATACAAAACATATACAAATGCGGGATTGACTCGATTTTATGCCGTTGTCAAGTGAATTTACAATTGTGTTTATTGTTGTATGGGTGCGTTGTCATTGTATATAAAAGAGGTTTTATATTTCTGCCTATGAATCAGTTTTTCAATTGGAAGCCTCAACTGCCACGTGTTTAAGTGGCGTATTTCTCGTATATGCAGTTGGCAAACTGGCTACCCACCAGACCGAGTTCTGTTTGAACCGGTAATAATAAAGACCAATAAACGCTTACTCTTGATTAAGAGTAAGCAAATTGAAGAGTCAAATAAATTTGACACTTTTACTCTAAGAGTCATCAGAACGTGGCACTTGCCTATATTATTGCACATTTTGGCAATGAGCACATGTTATTGTAAGAGTGGCTGTGCGTATGTGTGTGTCTGCACACATTGCATAATTTAATTGCTTGTATAACACTGTAGATGGCGCTGTCAATTCTTTTTGAAATGCTAAGAGAAAGCCAATGCCAACAGCTCTGCTTGGTGCAAAGGGGATGGCTAGCTACCATGCATATGTGCCAATACTCTTCTCGCTACTGACATTGAGACATCTTCAGAAAAAGAGAGAGAGAGAGTTCGGACGAAAGCTTTCTTTTCATGCTCTTGTATTGTTAAATTTAGATTTCAAGTGTAGGCAGCAGCAGCCAAAAAATGTTCATTCTGATTTGTTTTTGTTGCTTGAGAAATGTTGGCATAAAATTAAATTAGCAGCCACCGGCAGGCTGTCAGGCGCTCAGTCTAGGCCACTTTTCATTGACAAAAGCCGCTTTTACGTAATCACTTTTCGCGAGAGGCAGGCCAGTGCCATTTAAGAGAGTGACAGAGGGAGAGCGAGAGAGAGAGATAGTGCGCGTAGTAAAGAATTTTATTGCTGTAGGCGGCGGTGGGTGTTGTGAGCAGTAGCAAGCGACTGTAAAAAGCGTTGCCCTGTTATCTAATCTCTCCAGAGGCGCGGGTGCTGATTGAAAGAGCTTTCGCAAGGAGCACGCGCGACCGTGATGTAACAGTTTTATTCTCAACTAGCCAACAAGCAAAACAAGATTGAATAAATGCCTATTGAAAGACAGGAGTTATGGAGCCGAAGAAGACTAGACAAAAAGGCACGTGTAACTGTTTTATTGTTTATTGCATTGAACTTTGCTTTTCAGCGAAAAGTGTTGCGGCCAACCCTTTTCAGCGAGATTGCATAACTGTTTTAATCGAGCACGAGAAAAAAAAAGTTTGGAATATTGTTTAAACAATTTATCTTTCGTTGTAAGCACAAAAATGCTGGTTCTAATATCATTGCACAATTTTCAATTGCTTTAAGCCTTGGTGCACGTTTATATAACAATAAAAAAAAAAATTTATACTTGTTTTAGGCCAAGTAAGTAAAACAAACAAAAAAATTAATTCACCAATGCTTGCTAATTATTTATGCGTCAGTTATTATTGTTATTGACTTTGATCGAGTTGATTTTAATTTAGGCTTATGCATTTCAAATGCACTTAATATGTAATACGTACAATTTGTTTGTTTTTTTATCACAGCACCGAAAAAAAATTAATTTATCTTTATTCCTTGCGAAATCAAAGGTCTGCACCGGACGGCAACTAAATTGCTTATGAATAATAGGAACAGCGTACTGAACGAGCTAGCCTACGCTGCCTAGCAGCAGTCAGCTGCTCCTCTGCTCGCTGTGGCAGAAGTAGAGACAGAGGCAGCGACACTGACAGATTCAAGTTCACGCGCTCTCTCTCTCTCTCTGAAGCGTCGCAGAGGCAGAGCAACAGTTGTGAGTGAGAGAATGAGTTAGAAAGGCGTCATATAACGGTGGTAAGCATTTGAGAGACAGTTGGCAACAGAGACTAGACACACACATACAAAGCTCTTGCACGTGTGCGCAAAATCAAATGCTAAATGATCGAGAGAGAGTAGGCAAGATCTTATCTATATATATCAATGTCTGTGTATGCGAAGCAGAACAGCGATAGCAATGAATTCAATGCCAATATCATTGCATAACACCGTTAGCTAAAGCTGATAATCAGTTCACGCATACATATAGAGAGAGAGAGAGAGAGAGAGAAAGAGAGCAAACTTAAAGGCCAGAGACTTCGATAGGAAAAGGAAGTATAAGACAAATTTGGATAGAATCAAATCTATTACCTATGAATATTGACCTAAAACAATGACAAAAACAAATAACAAATAGAATAAAACAAATTAATACAATTGTTTTTCATTTACCCCTTTCGAGGTTTGCACTGCCTTCACAACAGAAAAAAAAGCTGAATGCTTGCCAAAAATGTAAACTTTTACTCAGTTGGCAATGCGCCGACGAACATAACAGCGTCGATGGCGTTGACGCCCGCGTCAATAGCGTAGCGTAGCATGTGACTGACTTATGGAAATTTTGACGCATGTGCTTCACGCTCTCTTTTGTACTCACTTGCTGCTCTCTTCGTCGCGTGAAGCTCTTAAATGGGAAGTCGTGGGCCAATTTCTCTGTATGCGGAGGCGGAAGGCAGCGTAAGTGAAATAAATGTGCGTACAGCGATTAGATTAAATACCGCTACTCATACAACTATTTTATATAATCAGCCATTTTCAAGGTCTTCTAATCGCTGACAAATTACATAAAAAAGTTTACGCACCAATTAATGAGAGCGACATGAGGCTTGTGGCAGCCTGCCAAAGATGCAAACGTAAAGTTGATGTTGGATGCGTACTAAAAATCTAATTGCGGCTATTTAAAGGCAAACAAAAAATAGATTCAAGTGCAGCTAAATCCATTAAATGGGTTAAGTACAACGGTGCATGGCATTTAAATAGGGACTTTTTCTCTTTGTCGGATGTCGGGCGTCGCATAAACAATTAGTTTTGCGTGATCAGCGATTTACAAAATGTAAAAAATTCCACAACTTCAAATGCTGACGCATCAATGAGGCCGTCGATTTGTTTATCGGTTGTCAATTCTGCTAATCCGCTCGCTTGAGCATTGACGAATATGAGAAATCACAATTTGGAGATGTTTACGTAAATGTTACACAGCATTTGCCAGGACGTTCTGCTGCTATCGTTGTCGGGCATCGGGTTAAAAAACGCCGACTGCAAAATGGCGCTAAAAAGGCCAAGCAAAAGGGCAAACAAAAAAATCACATGCGGCATATTAACATGACGCGTTTGCCCTGCTGACGTCATAACATCAGCAGCGGCAGCAGCATCTGCTTCTGTTCATAACCGGTTCTAACAATTGTAAGCAAGCAGGTAAAATGTAAAAGTATCGAAAAGCAACAATAAAACGGTCATTGGTCAATGGTAGGAGAAATGTGCTCTTAGAAATTTGAAGACACAAGAGAATAATGCGAAAAAAACCCACACTGAAATATGCGCACACACACATACAAAGGCATTTATAGTCGCTGTGAGTCTTGCGCGTGTAAATGGCGTGGCGTGTGAGTAAGGGAGAGAGCGCGATAAGCACATGGAATTCATATGAATGCTCAACTACATCTGTATGCGTGTGCCGCATTTCTACACAATTAATACAAAAGAAAATATAGTGAAAAATCTGCACATGTATATATGATACATCTACATGTAAAAAAATTTATATTCAATTAGATTCATTACAAAAGCAGCTGTTGCAAATTGTGCTCAATTGTAAACGTGTGCGTGTTCCTGGGAGTGTGTGTGCGTGTGCACGACAGTTTGCTTGTGTGGCACCGTTTTTTTTCTCTGCTCGCTTTCAACTTTTTCTTGCAAAATTTTTAGGTTAGAACTCGTGAGCGTTCTCAACACACTGCAGGTGTGTGTATGTGGGTGCATTAAAAAAGAGGACACAGAGACACGGACGACAGTTTTACCTTGTGACTTATATTAGACGCCGAAACTTTGTAGCCTTCAATTTAACGTTGCTTTCGCTTGCAAATTATTTTGTGGTTATGTAAGCACAATTTAGGCAGCGCTTTTTGCCATTTTTATATAAAAAAATAAAATCATACATTTTGTCGAAAACGCCGCACAGGTTTGGCGAAAATATAGAGTTAGATTCATACACCGGAAAATAAAACCATCACCGACACATAAAAAAAAAATTTAGCACATTACATAACTTAAATCTAGTGCAAGGTGAACGTAAAGAAAAAAATCAATGGTAAATTTTAAATGAATGCACTGTCCGATTTTCATTTTTGTAGTAGCTCGCAGCAAGATAGAATTAAGATTTGTATAAAAGAAAACCACAATACCTTCAGTTATTAAACTTCTTACAAAAGCCACAGAATAAAAACTTCTTTTGCAGAATAGAATTTCCCACTTGGCGTTGAAACTAGCCGCGTGCTCACTTAACGAACGCAATTCGTGAAGTGCTTGCAAAACGGGAGCAGTGTGGTAAACTATCGAGCGGCTTAAACTGCATTAGAAATCGATATAACCGATACCTATCGAAACTATTACGATATTTTGCATGCACATTGTGTGGACCACTGACAATGGTAATGAAAACTATTAATTTTATACCTATTATAAATATGATTTTTTTAGCATGGTTTTATAACTATAATTATAGATACGAATTGAAAATAACATTTTGTGACAAGGGTTGAAAAGAAAATAATCGATAGCAGAATTCGTTGCTGCTTTTTTGACAAGCAATAGTTTTCTGTCATTGTTAAACACTAAATAGAAAAGTTGGGAAAACGTGCGAGTGCGTGACTATTTTGCTAAGCTCTTAGAAAATTCATTTAAATTTGTACTTAAAATTCTAGAAGATGAGTGGTCGTGAAGGCGGTAAAAAGAAGCCACTGAAGGCACCCAAGAAGGAAGGCAAGGATCTCGACGAAGAAGATTTGGCATTCAAACAGAAGCAAAAGGAACAACAAAAGGCACTTGATGCCGCCAAACAGCAGGCAGCCAAGAAGGGACCCCTTGTGGGCGGTGGCATCAAGAAATCGGGCAAGAAGTGATGAGGATGATTGCAGCACATAAACATTTACTACCATTAGTGTTGGAGGAATTCGTTTGTCAACACCCAAACACAAACACATTCGTGAACACGATGCGAATTGCGTTTGCAGAAAAATTCTGTTGTCAAATGAAGGTTGACCAAAATTGAACGTTTAAACAAATAATATCACTTTTTATACTTACGATTTAACAAAAGAAGCGCATTAAATCTTTGTAATAAAAACATACAGTTAATGCCACCTTTTTTGTATGCCAATCTTAAGAAGAGCAAGGGTGGAAGAGATGTCATAAATTCTTTGGAAGTCGACTACATAAGTCTAGCAGAGACATACATATATATATATATATATATATATATATATATATGTATATACATAAATAAATGTCAGTGGCATGTTACGTTTATGCATAGTCGTGTCGGGACACGTATGCTATACTAAGGCCTCGTTTATTTATTACTATTTTTACAAGTATACATATGTATGTAAATTATTTGGTTATTGGCTGTTCAATAGTTTCTTGTCACTTTTAAGCGTATGGGAAGCTTGACTGTGTGCCATGGTGCTGCACTGACTGGGCTGCCACTACATGAGCAGCTGCAATGTGATCAACGAGTTGTCTGTCTGGAAAACGAGCATAGCTGTTAGCCAAGGCACCAATGAAGGCATCTCCAGCGCCAGTTGTGTCCTTCACCAGCTCTTCTTCCACATTTGGAGCTGACACCAGTTTACAGTCATATGGAGCATCTTTCGAGGAACAGACAGCACCTATTTTACCAAGTGTGACGATTACAGTGTTGGCGCCCATTTCAATAAGGCGCGCCATTGTATTGAATGCATCGCTGTAATGCAGATAATCTCTCAATGTTATAATGCTATAAATATATATATGTATATTAGCATTTTATATATACCTAATGTTAATGATGGGCTCGCCCACCAAGCACCCAGCTTCTACTATGTTCACACACAAAATGGTGCACCGCTGTATCAGCTCCAGAGGGATGTTCTCCATGGCTGGAGCAGCATTCAAAATAGATATTCCCTTGAATCGACGCAATGCTTCCAACGTGCCATCAATGGGTGTCTCCAGCTGACAGATCAACACCTTGGCCTTCTCGAACAATTCGCAAGCATTGTCCACATCCTGCGGGCCGAGCATATTGTTGGCTCCCACAACGATTATGATATTATTTTCGCCATTTTGGGCGACTGCGATTTGAGCTACGCCTGTTGTGTGCCCTGGCAGTTGCTGGACATACTTCACATTTATTTTCTCAACTTCCAGCTGACGTATATAGTTGTGGCCAAAGCTATCGTCTCCCAGTTTGGCAATGAGCGCCGTCTTGGAGCCCAGGCGAGCAGCAGCTACGCATTGATTGGCGCCCTTGCCACCGAATCCAGTTTGAAATTTAGTACCATGCAAGGTTTCACCAGCATTGGGCAAACGGGGTGCGTAGCTGATGAGGTAAATGGTTTGTTATTAAATATGTTTGCATCTTATTTCATATGCATTTACCACACAAAATCTATAATGGCCGAGCCAAAAACGAGCACGTCCACCGATTCATTCATTTTGTTTTTCGCATCAATTTATTTAATATGCTTGTATATGTTTTTGCGCTAATCTTTGTTGTTATTTGATAATTGCAAACAGCTGAAGGTGTAGTCGACGACTGATATGAAGCACAAAATATATTTGCTGATTTGCGTTAAATTTATTTCGCCTCCTAAAAGCCGGCAAGAACTGAGCGTTAGAACGCTAGAGTCAAATGTGACAGCATCGAACTACCGATATTTTTATATTTCGTTTGCCGTATCGATAACAGACACGGTACATTGATGATTAATGTACCAATTAGGGTACATACACATGTACCAAATACTATCACTTACATTATCGATAACAGATAACGGCACTTGGTACGATTACAAATGCAACAATTGTCAACAACCGCTAAAAGTACATATACTAAAGGCTGATTTTCTAGAATTTGTTTAAATAATTAACTATGTCGCTACCAAGAATAACAAACGTTATAAGACTGGCTCCACGTTTAGTTGGTGAGTGTGACCAGCTGCCAATTTATTGCTTTGGATAATCTATTAGTCCCCGAGTCCAATTGTCCGGTGCAAAGTCCAAATCTGTGGCACCAACAACAGTTATAATAGTCTTTTTAAATCATGCACCATTTTATCATTGCTAGCCATGCAACCGTGCCGAAATAACAGCAGCGCTCAGGCTGCCATCGAAGTGGCTGCACAGTTCAAAACATTGGCCATCAGCTCGCCGAAACCTTTTGTATTTCATGTGGAGTTGAATCGACCCAAAAAGCTGAATGCCATCAACAGGGATATGTGGCTGTAAGAACATGCCTATACACAGGTGCATGTATTACTACAACCTTCCCCCTCCTTCTCTCTCTCTTTAGCGAGATCAGAGCCTGCTTTGAAACGCTGGCCGTCAATCCGGATTGTCGTGCCATTGTACTCTCTGCTGCCGGCAAACATTTCTGTGCCGGCATTGATCTGTCTTCCATGATGGCCTTGGGTCAGCAGCTGGCTGACTATGATGATGTGGCGCGCAAGGGCGTTGTTTTAGAGCGCACCATTAAGATATATCAGGACTCGATTACCGCCGTGGAGCTGTGCCCCAAGCCTGTTATTATGGCCGTGCATCAGGCATGCATTGGTGCTGGCGTTGATTTGATTACCGCCGCGGACATACGCTACAGCACACAGGATGCATTTTTCCAGGTGAAAGAGGTGGACATTGGCATGGCCGCCGATGTTGGCTCACTGCAACGCCTGCCCAAGGTAATTGGCAGCCAATCACTGGCACGCGAACTCTGCTTCACGGGTCGCCGATTCGAGTCCGCCGAGGCGGAGCGTTGCGGCTTGGTCAGTCGTGTATATCCGGACAAGGAGTCACTGCTGGCGGGCGCCATAGCACTGGCCGAGGAGATTGCCAGTAAGAGTCCCATAGCCGTGCAGACGACCAAGGAAAGCATGGTTTATTCCCTGGACCACACCAATCAAGAGGGACTCGATCACATTGTAAGATAGTAATGTATATCTATGTATGTATATAATATAAACTTTTCTTTCTGCTTTCAGCGTATTATCAACAAACTGAATCTTCAGTCAGAGGACTTTGCCCAGTCGGTGGCCGCGCAGCTGACCAAGGATGAGAAACCCGTGTTTGCCAAGCTTTAACGATCGAATAGTCTATAATTGATGTACGTGAACAATAATATATATGTATTCTCTGTATTACTTTATATACTCTGTACATTGAACACTTGGCGTATACGCAATATCTGCTTACAACTTAAGTAAATATCTTTAAATATATATATATACATTGATCTGCATGTGTACATATACATATGGGTTCTATAACAACTAAATTATGACTAGGAATTTTGTGGCAGTCTATTTTGGGTATGAAAATTATTTGAACAGATCCTCCAATGCACGTCGCTCCTTGACACAGCTGGCGGTCAACACCTCCACCTGACCCTTTTCATTGATCAAGACATCATCCTCGATCCGTATGCCAATGCCACGGAATTCGGCTGGCACATCGGTGCGCTTCTCATCAATGTAGATGCCCGGCTCAACAGTGAACACCATGCCCGGCTGGATGCGTGTATTGCGCGGCACATGGGGAGTATCATGGACATCCATGCCTAGATAATGGGATACATGATGCGGACAGAACTTATAGCCCTGCGTCGCCAGCTCCTTGTGGTCCGTCAGATTCTTGGGAACCAAACCGATTTCCTGCAGATATTTGCCCAATTTATAGCACGCCGTCTCGAATAGTTGATCCAAAGTCTCGCCGCCTGGCTGCATGATCAGCTCTGTAAGTGCGAAACGAAATATATTAAGCAATTATCAATGAAGTCTGTAGATATATTTAGATACCGATAATCTCCTTTTGCAGCTGTTCCATCATGTCGTAGAGCGTTCGCTGTGGCTCCGTAAATTGACCGCTGACCGGCCAAGTGCGTGTTATATCGCTCGTATAGCCGCCATATTCACAGCCTGCATCCATTAGCAGCAGCTCCTGCGGCTGCAGAATCTGTGTGTTGTTCACATAGTGTATCACGGTGGCATTTCGGCCAGCTGCCACAACTGGTGGATAGGCCAAGTAGCTGGCGCTGCGCATGCGGCATTTAAAGTCAACGGCTGCATATAGCTGATGCTCCGATTGGCCGGGACGCGTCTCAGCCATGACCTCATTAAACGCACTTGATGCTATTGAGCAGGTGCTACGCATTAGCTCCATTTCGGCAGGTGATTTGATTAGACGCATATTCTCCACGAATGTGCAAACGGGCAGCAGTTGGGTGCGTTGGTTATTGCACACTTGAAGCATTGCATCGGTGACATTCGACTGCTCCGATTGGCTCAGATCGAACCACAAATGCGGCTTCAGTTGACTGTAACGGGCAATCAAAGTTTGTTGAAATTTCTCAATGGGCAGTGCTTCCTGTACGCCAAACAGCTGTACCGCATAGTCGGGACCAGTGCGCGGGCCATCCCACAGCTCGGCATGGGGATCCTTGGGACGCATAAACAATACTGATTGCACAGTACTTGATTCGTCAATAGTCAGTAGAAGCACTGAGTCCGGCTCTAAACAGCCAGTTAGATAATAAAAGTCCGAATTTTGACGAAACACATAGGGTATCTTGCCACTCATATACTTTTTGCAAGCGGCTCCAATGACCAGCTGACGGATGGATAGATAACACGTAAATATAAAGAGTGTCTGGATAGATGACAGCCTTACCATGTGCGCTCTAGAGGTGCGTCCATTGAACTCGTTCCCAAAGCCTTCCGCATACGTTTGAATGCCTTCCATTAGCCTTATGCGTCTCGTTTGAAATTCCGCCTGCTCCACGCCGGGCACCAATTCGTGCGGCTTGATGAGATGTGGATGTGTGGCATTTGTTGGCTGGCCCAAAGCACGTAGACCATTTTTGAGTGCATCAGCCAGGCTGCGTACTTCCTGAGCAGTAATTTGAGCCTTGCACATTCGAGTGGTTGAATATGTGGAAAATTTTGGTTGGTTGCCAAGTGCGCGTAGCAGACAAAAACGTGGCAGGCGCTTTAATGCAATCATATCGTTAATAAGGCAAATTAAGCGAATCGAGTTGTATATGCGTGCGATAGGCTTATCTTTTTTTTTATAATTTTAAATACAAAATATGCACAGAATTTGTAAATCTACGACAACCTAGGAAATAGAATATCTGACAAAAACAAAAACATTTGCCGCTTCACTTCGGAGATGTCAAACGAACGATTAATCGATAAGTAACGCGATATATTAGAATACAAAATTTAAGATAATTTATTTAGTGGATACTAAGGTACAATCATTAACAAATTATGCCTCCTCAAGTAAAATGGCAGTTAGATATAATAATAAAAATGTACTTTTGGCTAATCATCCTGGTTGCATAATTTCTATACATCGATGACAAATTTTGCAAGGATTTAAAAACAAATATATCGATATAAATTTCTATAACTACACTGCCGCATAATTTTCGCTTTTAATTGTATATGAAAGTATTATTTATTTCACACATCTTACGGAAACTAACATTATGCAGAGCGCTGTGCTGCGTTTGCCGGTCGACTACGAGACGATAAGATTTAATGATTGGACCATTAGCTATGAGAAGTCACACATTTTAAAGAGTATGTGCCACTTGGGCAGCGACAAGTGCTGCGACAAGGATGATGTCAATCGATGTGAGCTCTGCCACTATCAACATACGCTCGAGCTGCCCCACCTACCAGACATGGTGTTCCACAAAAACAAGCTCGTCCTCCAGCACAAAGATGGCGCCCTGATGGAGTTCAAACCCATAGACGCACTCGCTCTGGTCGCTAATGGCAAAGAGGCAGCCGTCGAGGTGGCCTGCGCTCAGGAATGGCGAGAAACACGGTAACAGCCACTAGAAATTGGATTTCCTTTGCTCTCAAACATTCTCATTTAAACGACTTTCGCTCTTGCAGCGCCGAACAGAACATGGAGCATAAATACAAACCCTTCGACTGGACATTCACATCCACCTATCAGGGCACATTGAATGAACACTTTCGTTCGGAGGTCACAGAACAAACGCTCAACAAAATGAAACTGATGCAGCGTGAGAATATTCTCTTCTATCACGATCTCACACTATACGAGGATGAGCTGCACGATCACGGCATCTCCGCGATGAGTGTGCGCATTGTGAGTTGACGAATGTGTATACATATATACTCTGTCCCCAGAGAGTACCCAAGCATTGTCATATATTGTGTATATTTGGGCTATAGCCTGAGATTGTAACTCTATCTTATATAAAAAAAAATTATGCCTAGCTATAATACCAAATGCGAGCTTAGCTTCATCTGCCTAACTGTTTATCTCATTAGTCGCCACAGTTCCATCTATATGGCAGGCAGTCTCATCCTACTTATTTGCTTATTTGTAGATCTCTTATATCTTTATCGCTTTCTTATTTATCAGCGTGTAATGCCCTCTGGTTTCTTTGTGCTGTTGCGTCACTTTCTGCGAATCGACGATGTGCTCATACGAATGCATGATACGCGCTTCCACTATGAGATCGAGAATGATTATATACTCAAGGAGTAC